CAAGTCCTGTGTTGGTTTAGCTCGTGTTTTCAGTTTTTCAGGCGCTACCAGTATTAGCTGTGTGCTAATGTTTCAAGTCCTGTGTTGGTTTAGCTCGTGTTTTCAGTCTTCAGTTTTTCAGTTTCTACCGGTATTAGCTGTGTGCTAATGTTTCAAGTCCTGTGTTGGTTTAGCTCGTGTTTTCAGTCTTCAGTTTTTCAGGCGCTACCAGTATTAGCTGTGTGCTAATGTTTCAAGTCCTGTGTTGGTTTAGCTCGTGTTTTCAGTCTTCAGTTTTTCAGGCGCTACCGGTATTAGCTGTGTGCTAATGTTTCAAGTCCTGTGTTTTAGCTCGTGTTTTCAGTCTTCAGTTTTTAGGTGCTACCGGTATTAGCTGTGAGCTAATGTTTCAAGTCCTGTGTTGGTTTGGCTCGTGTCTTCAGTTTTTCAGGTGCTACCGGTATTAGCTGTGAGCTAATGTTTCTGCCATGCCGCCTGTACTGGACTGTGTTTTGAGCTTCTCTTCATTAAATTCATCATCTGGTTCTCTGCATTCATTCTCACCACCACCAACCACACCCCATGACACTGATTTGTTGTGCATTGCAGCAGGCTTATTGTATTTTATTGACGTATATCAGAGTAAAATAGTCTTGATCGTGCAAATCATGCATTGCTTTCCTTCCGCTTCACAGTTTTGCCCTAGTTTCTTTTGGTCTATAAAATCTCTTTAAGGCTTTCACATGACAAAATATTGAAGCATGACATCTTTACCAGATCCATCATTGGATGCATATTGCACTTGGATCCCACTCAGAGATTACCTTCTGGTGCTATTACCAACCAGCTTCAGCAGACCACCATGGGACGTAACCTTTCTGTGACTTATACATTAGCTAGATGAGCGAGAGCCCTGTGCATGGTGGGTACCACCAGCTGATACTGCTAATGCATGGATCATAAACCTCTGATGGCTTCTATATAAGGCTGGCTGAGTGGATGACACCTCGGTGGTCTGGACAGCGTTAACTGCAGCATGGACTTATAAGGAGGAGGTGCTCCGATTAAAGGGAGTCGGGGGTTAGGCACAACATTTTAATAGACATACTGTGAGTCACTTCTTAAAACATTGTGTTGTAGTGTTTGCACAAGTTGTCACCTGTGACGTATAGCGCATTCTTATCGGACCTCCGCATGGTTAACGGTCCGCTGTGTTGTTGAGAGGCAGCGAAGCCGAGTCTGGGCAGGAACTAACACACAATACATCAGGAAGTGGACAGACATGAGCGATAGAGCAGGAATGTTCTTTACCAGGGCATGATATACTCACCGACTCAAATTTAATATATTAATTATTAGCTACACTGTTGAGTTCGTTAGGTGCTGCATCTTTTTGTTTTGTTTTTGTCATCAAATGAAATTGCACTCAAACACAAGATATGCGTGTGATAGGTTGGGTTGCAGTTGAATTGAAGAAGGAAAGAATATATGTGAATAATCAGAGCAGAAATGAAGTGAGTTGTTTTGGGTACACTGCAAAAACAAAATCTTACCAAGTATTTTTGGTCTAATTTCTAGGGCAACACTTGAAATAAGACAAAAAATAATATACAAGTAACTTTTCAGCAAGATATAGGAGCTTGTTTATGTAATTCTCTAATATCCATAACAATAGTACATGTTCCACTGGTAAATTATTTAACCTATAACTAGATATTTTCCCCATTATTTGGTGAAATAATCTTCCAAAGGAACTGGTACTTTTTAATTAGGATTAAGGAATTATTGACTTAAACAATCTTTATTGTCTTTAAAATGCTTGTAAGTTAATTCTATTTTCCAGTGCACCAAGCACTGGAAAATAGACAAAAAATACTTGGTAAGATTTTGTGTTTTTGCAGCTTCTAATTCATCTCTAAGTCATTTCTTCCTTTAGTTCATACTTTGTCTGTGCCTGTTTGTAATGTGGCATACTGGTTTGTTTTAAGTAAATAAAGTATTTAGATAAATTATGGGGATGAATAACATATATCACATGTTTTATTTTCACTTTACAATATTTTGTGCACATTTTATATTAAAGCCGAACATTAAAGTCAAATTTTATTAAAACATGACTGATTGTGACTCAGGTTAAGCCAAAACACTTCTGAGCTACATCCTACTGGTGAGTAAAAATTGATGAAGTCACTTTTTCTTACAACAGGCAATAAGCAAATTGTAGAAAATTACTTTACATCTGTTGTGTCATTGGATACAAAAGGTCATCAAGGTGGGTCATCAAAATTTAAGAGGCATTTTAAGGAGAGTAGACCTCTGCCCTCAAACAGATCTTAAGTGAAATCAAAAGGTCGTCAATAAAGTGTGAAACCACCCACTGAGATCTTAAGTAACAATTGACAAAATATAAAAAAGTCTAAGGAGAACAAATAAGGAAATGTACATGGACTATAGTTACTTGAAAATGAAACCTTACCAACCTCCACTCCAGATCTGCTCCTTATTTATTGAAAAATAAATCTGGAGACTGATTAGAGTCTTTGCATGTTTGCTTCTTCATCTTGATCCAAGTATGCAGAATTTTCTATGAGTGGTGTTAAATATATGTCTTCCTTCATCTCTGTTGTGGCTTCGAGTAACATCGGTTTCTCATTGTCAGGAGGATTTCCAAAGTTACCACATTACATGTAAAGGCCTGTCTAAAAGAGTGATGTGTCCTCTTCAGTCTCCCAAATATAAATATGTATGAGCTAAAAGGAGCAGGGATTTATTGCCGTGCTCTTTTTGCAATAAGAAGCAGTAATAAGAAAGAAAGTGTTGATGTTTTGTCTGACTACAGTAAAATAGCATCTATGTGCAGCTGTTTTAGCTCTGGCACAAGCTGTTTTTGTCCCAGGAGGCCAGCGGCTGCTGTTTCCATTGTGTGAAGCATGTTTGGTCGAGATAGTGGGTGTGGGAAAGAATCAGCAGCAAATTGGAGGGGATTTGTGCCTGAGTTAGAGTCAGGTTTATTTGTACGGCACGTTTCAGCAACAGGGCACTTCAAAGTGCTTTACATGATAAAAACGTCATACAGTCACCTAATATGAAACAAGCAATAAACATTACATTTCATCAAAATCATTAAGCAAATACAAAGCACATATGCTGATCAACTGTGTTTCAGCTGTTTTGCAGTTTTCTGGAAGCTTGTTCCAGATTTGTGGTGCATAGAAGCTGAATGCTGCTTCTCTATGACTACAGTCTTTACTGTAGTGTGATGCTAAACTGTTTAACAACAGTATTATAAGGCCTATTCTCTGTGCCGTAGGGGCTTTAGAACCGAGTTGATGTGCTCTGTCTGGTTTTAGTCAGAACACCAGCAGCAGCATTCTGGAGCAGCTGAAGCTGTCTCATTTTTTAGGCAGACCTGAGAAGACACTAAACATTTGGATGAGTTTCTCTAGATCAGAGGTGTCCAAACCTTTTACCTTGTGGGCCAAAGCTGTCAGGTTGAAAGCAATTGATGGCCACAAAGGAGAGATTTTTAACAAAAAGTTGTGGTGGGCCAGATTTGGCCCCCGAACCTTGAGTTTGATGCATCTTGAGCTTGCATGTCTTTCTTTGTGACCTAACATTTTACACTGCCTCTTAAAAAAAATCACATATTTAGACAAACGATTCCACTGAGGCTGGACTGAGACCAAATTGCTGCAAAAATATCAGTTGTTGCTGTAAATAGAGGCCAGACACACACTCTGTGTGTGTGTTACTGCCTGGTTGTAAGTGGGTTTAATTTCCCCCTATAACAAATTGCATGTTGTTACTTTACTGCCCTGCTACCTCGACTGATTTGCAGACGTATATAAAAACTCCAATAGAGCTGGAAGGTGTTTTATGATTTATTTAGCAAGACAACGTAATAATGAACACTGTTTGGATGATCTTGTTTCACATGTGTTGTGTGGATGGACAGATGTGGATGTGGAGAGGAAATAATAAGGCACAAGGGTGGATGATGTTTTCCTTGTAAGGAGCCTTTTGCATGTTTTCTTCCTCTAAAACAATCGAATGATTCATTTAGTGATTATGTTGCTAAGAGCTTGTGTTGGAAACAATGTTGTGTCCACTCAGCAACACCGGTCAGCTCAGAAGACCCAGCCCTTCATGTGAAATCTGTCATCCAGCATGAAGTGTCTCAGTGTGTCTGGAACATTCAGCTACACCTCATCACACTTCCTCTTTGTGCATGTTTTAGAGGAAAACAGATAGAAGCTGAACGGGAGCGTGTGTCTGCGATCAGCTCTGCTCAGCGAACAAACCTGGTAACACAGGAAGCACGACTAGGCTTTTACAGAAGTGGAATTTCCTCCAACCAAGATGTGTATCGCTGCCTTTCTACTGTTGGAGCAGAGGAAAGGGGAGAAAGGAGCGTTTTCATTCTTTGTTCAAAAAGGAATCTTGCACAAAGCTTTCAGCTGGTAGTTTATATTAAGCAACAGTCTCTCATTCCTCTCAAGGACTTTCTGTGCCTTGCGCAATGTCAAACTCCCCCTGAACGGTTTCACATTTTGTCATCTTACAAGGGCAAAGGTAACTTTATTTTTTGAGGATTTTGTGTGATAAACCAACACAAACTAGTGCATAATTACAAAAAAGAAGGGAAATTATGCATAGTTTTTTAATGTATTTATCAAATAACAGTAAACAATTTTGTGATGGCCTTAAGATGAAAATCTGTGTATTCCTTTGAAAAGTTAGTTAATAACACTACTATACTGTATATTTTGGTATTGATCCAATACTAGTATCGTCAATATCGATACTGATATTGATACCGATACTTTTCTTCTCCTTTTGGTGTTTTTCTGATTTTTTCCTTTGAGTTATTTAGCTAAACTTAAAATAGAATCTGTAAAAGTATATAGTTGCCTACAAAATACTTTAATAACATATTGAGTTTGACTTTATTGAACATAGTGTAATAAAAGAATAAACAAAGTTATATACAAACAAGATCAATTAAAACAAAACCAAACAAAACAAACGAGCAGTAGTAAAGTGTATTTACATGTTCAATTGACATGATGAAAAGAGAAACAAAACTGATTTCTGTGACTTTTTTCTTAATAAATAAAATGCAAAAAATATAACTTGAGAGCAAATCAAGGCAAAATCTTTTCTATCCTGGGGTTGAGAAACTACAAAGATCAAATAAAATTTCAAGAGAGAATCTGAAACTAAAATATCAATCTTAATAGCCACTGTGCTGTGTGGCTGCTTCTGCATAGAGAATAGGAGAAAGGAAGATGAATCGAGCAAAATACAAAATTATCGTGAAAAAAACTTGTTAGGCCAAGTTCACAATGCAACCTGAAGTCACCCAATTCCGATTTTGTGTCAAAGTGGATTTTTTTTTAGTGTAGTTGTTCAAATGTTCCGCGTGCGCAGTAGAGGGCGCAATAGTCACATAAAGAGCTGCTCAGTGTTTTTCCAACTGCCATAACGTAGAAGAAGAAGACGTGCTCGGTGTTTGCGGAAGTAAACGTTGATGCTGACGGTTTACCATTTTAAAGCTGCTGTCCGACCGCAGCCAGCATATTAACATCTTAATCCTCGATATCGTCCGCCATGGTTGTTGTTTTTCTCATAGACATAATATAAGGATTAATATAAGGATTATATATATATATATATATA